GCCACAGCCGCCGCTTCGCCGTACTCCACAATGCTGCCCGGCTTCGCGCACTACTCCACAGGCAAGTCTCGACCCGCCGGAACCGCAAACATGTTTTTGTGTACAAAAATGTCACGTATTTTGAAAGGAATCCAAAACACAAGTTAGATTTCATTTTCATACGGTGTCATCATGCCCATGACCCATTTAACGGATCTTGATAAAATTTGGTGTGGGTATCATGATAATTAGGTACCTCCACCCCATCTTTTTAAATTTATACCACTAAAATCAACAAGATGGCCGCATTAACCTCTACGTAGGAATGAAGCTGAATGAAACAACATTTTTGCAGCTGTTCTGTTCACATATTTTAAGCCTCTGTGAATATAAAGACTTCTGGCCTATACTCACGTTTAGAGTCTGTTTTAAATTGTAGGTCTCTGTCCCCTGTGCAGACCTCAATGTTCATGGTCACACATCATTTGGAGCAATGGAATACCCACTGTGAGTGCACCAACCCTTGTCTCGATGTTCATAAGCAAGCAAGGTCACTGTAGACCTTAGCTATAGGCATTAGAAACCAACCAGCATTTTGTTTAGCAACATATCTTTGAAAAACATAAAGTTTTGTTACAGTACTTGTTCTGAAATACAAAGTGAGGTTGTTCCAGGTCTGTACTTAACCTAAAATTTGGTAGTGATTGAAAATTAATCATTGGAGCCCACCCAACCTCCAAGCCAGTGGATATTGGGTTAATTTCATTAGGGGCAAAGCTGCTGGGTCATGAAACTAGTCTCGTATCTCCATCTGGTGCCAAGATTAATAATGTGTGGATCTATACCTCCACTCCTCCATAAAATTTGCCTACACATCTCAGTTTTAGTTAAAATCAGACAACAATTGTGGATACTGTAGATGAAGATGTATATGTATTTTTGCACACGAGTGATGTTGAAATCACACGAGGGAATCCGCAGCCAGACATAACCGTGTGACCATGTGAGGTTATCCACCACATAATTCTGTGTAATGTAAAGATTTATCACATGGTTCACATAAACTAGCCATCTGGCCATGTTGCAAGTAACTTAAATACCGACCGTACCCTCCGATCCTATTTTTACAACATAGATTTCAAACATCTGTGTTGTCGAACCGGTTTCTTCGCTTTAAGTTTCTTGATCAAACATTGTATACATATTTCTTATTGCCCCCATTTATATTAAAATCACACTAATCGCTTTATTATTGATTTAACGACCTTCATAATTGGATGTGGAAAGTATTAATTGTGAATGTTCTTATTGTATTATTTTCAGCATTAAAAATACCTTTGAAGGGTTTTAAAATTTCCTGGGGAATGTAAGCACGAGTAATTAATATTTTATTGATATTGTCAACTTTATCATCAGTTTTGCCACCAATTACGACAATAGTTTTGGTATTTTAAAATTATCTACTGCGAAAACGCATTGCTAAGAAATGCTGTTTGAATCCTCAGGATGACCGTGACATTTAAGGGACAGTTGACGGGGCATACTGGGCAGTCATATTTTATGTGGTTATGTATGCCTGACTCATTGGATTTCCATGTCAAGCTGTGGAACATCTAATAAAACAATAACAATACTAAATAAATGCATCATCTGTCACATTCACAATTTCCATTTTAATATCTGTAAGTCATTATCTCAGAAACAAAATGTGTACAGGATAACATAAGTGTCAAAATTTACAGGAATGAACCTCTTTTATGTTGAACGGTAATACAATTTATTGCAACATTATTTTTTCCAAATCACATTGAAAGTACAAAATTTATAAAATTTCTTAATAGACCAATTATCTACGTGGCAACAAAAGCCAGGTTCCTATTAACCCCGCCAACACAAAACTAATTTTGCCAGATCACAGACTCCCACAGAATACGGACTCCACCAGAGTCACTACCATCAGAACTTCATTTTAAATTTTTCAACATTACACAAATGTCACACTTGTTAAATCGAGCATCACAGTTATTGGCTGCTACGTTCGAGGAGATTATTAGTGTTTGCAACTTTTGTCTGAATTTTGTTTAAACTAACTTAACAGCTTGCTAATAGAACCATAAGTTCAACACTGATGATAATACTGAAGCCCGCCATTGGACACAATCCTGAATCAGTTTCTTCCACATTCCTTTCTACGACCCTCTCCCATCTTAATGTTATCCATTTCCTGTTTGGCATTCCAGTTCTTTTCCAAGGGGTTTCCACATGAAAATTCTGTATGCATATGTCCCCCCTCCTCCCCAATGCAGTCTCTTGATTTCACTGATTTAAATAATATTAATAGGAGACATGAACCATAGATTTATGTTGTTTAAGAAGAAAATGATGAGGAAAATATTTTAAGTTTAAGACTGTTGTAGAATCACAGGACTGGCGATAAAAGCGTAATGAAAAGCATCATAAATTGTATGAGTAATATTAAGTCAGGGAGTAACATGTGGACAGGTCATTTAGTACACAAAGTATAACAAATGCACATAAAATATGTATTCCAAAACATCAAGAGATGAATACATGAGAAGATAATATTAAAATTGATCTTACAGAAATATTAATATGGAAAATAAAAATCAAATCCATCTGACTCTGCTTGGATACAATGGCGGACTGTGTGAAAACGATGGCAAAGAATCTCTTGAGTTCCATAAAAGCAAAGAATTTCTTGAGCTCTCTCAGCAACTTAGATTAAAAGAATGAGTAGGCTTACATCAAAAATTATTCCAGACAGGTTTCATTATTTAATGAGAAACATTTTTTCCTTATGCACTTTGTATCATCCATCTATCCATCCAATGGCTCTGCAGCCCATTTCTCACCCAAATACTTTCCTGATTGACTGCTAGATGGCTCTGACAGTTAACTACTAAGACAAACATCTGACGTGCATTTTGTTTTGCTTGCAGTAGGTGGCAGTGCTGTTGGAGGGGGTGTGGTTCCAGTCAGTGACTACTCATACAGCTCACCATATTCCCAGTACACTACGTCCTATGGCACGTATGGCTATGGCGCAGGCGGGTTACTCAGTAAGTAAACAGTGAGTATTCAGAGAGAGTTTTCGTTTTATACCGCACCTCAGTACTCGAAATGGACCAGGTTATCCCCTGTGCCTAAACATACGGGAGCACGAAGACAAGGTTTCACGTTTCAACCATTGTACTAGCTCATGGTGTATCTTGGATTAAGCATAAACCTGCGGTTGTCAAAAAATGTATCCAGCCCTGATAACAGAGTAGACGCTACTTTTAAAATTACCTGCAATGAACAGAAATAATTTAACGTAGAAATGGAAGTGAGACTTTAACGTAAGATAAGTTTCTTGAATATTTATATATTTTTCTTGATGTGCTGTGATTCATGGACATTATCTTAGAAGGAACGTTCTCGTCACAAGTGAGAAAGGATTAATCCTCTACAAAATATGGGCAAAATACTTTAATGATAAAGAGGAAAATGTAAACATGAAAGAAAGGAAAGAGGACTGAAAATGCGCAGTGCTCAGTAACAGCGTAGTGTATGTATGTTGCGATCTGGATAATAAACACTCGGGGCATGTCATTGTTTGCTTCTGTATGTCGCCTGATTTGACGTCTTGAATGCGTTACATCAGTGGTCCCCAACCTTTTTGTGCCTACGGGCACATTTGAGAGTTTATGAGATGGTGGCGGGCACCGACCAATTAACAAAGCCAAATTTTCTTTTCTCTGGACAAATAAGGTATGGACACCAAATAATACACAAAACAACATGACGTTTAATGATACAAGAAACCACGCAATCGAAAATTCATAGTTTCATAAGTACAATTATTATTACTCAAGTGGGAAGTTAGTGCGATGTTTGGCACTGAAGTTCATCGGCCAGTTTTTCAAATTTGGGAGTGTAGGATGATGTTATTGCTCGCAAACAATCATCAAGGTGGGCGTCAGTAAGTCGAGATCTGCGCTTTGATTTTATGATGTTCGTGGTTGAACGGCCTTCATTATTCAGTATAACCTCTTTCCGTATCAACGCGGGCACCCAAAGAAAGCCTTGGCGGGCGCCGCGTTGGGGACCACTGCATTACACATTACTTTTATTTAAGCAAAAGTACCCATGTTAAAAGAAAAATATTTGAGCCCTCATTATAAGCAGGTTTCACTATATCTGCTTCATGCTCTGATCTTCTGTAACCTCCCTCTAAAATATCCCTCCTTGTCCATTGTATTGGCTGTTCAGGTATGTCTCAACCACGGTCTTGTAAAAGCAAAGTCGTACTTGTGCTTAGCGCCATATAATATGAAGATGTATTGGAGGATGGAGCTCTGCCATTCTTTATCCTGGCATTAGTCGTCACTGTGGCAGCTTTATCCCTTGAGAGCCCTAATAACCGTTGGATACGAGGTTGGGTAGGCCCCGGAGTCGGTCTGCACGCAGTGGTGAAGAGAAATTTCTTCCCATGCCAGGAATTGAACTCCTGTCCATCTCATCCAACCTATAGCTTAGTCATTACACGGACTGAGCTATCTCGTCTCATAACCTTATGTGAATAACGTTAAAAATTATGCTCCTTGATCATGTTACGAGCTTCTGTTCATTTATGGATGAAAACAAAATACACTCTGTGGGCTTTATTTTTGTATAGAAAAGTGGTGCATAAATTTACCATTGTCTGTAACGGTGCCGTTGGTCGTAGCGGTACGCTCATCGTTTCTAAATAGACCGTCCATTTCGAGAACTGCCTGCACCTTGATGCACTTGTTCCTTATTCTTTTAATTTTATCTCTACCCTCACTTTCCATCTCCTCATATTTCTGTTATCTCCTTCCATCTTATGCAAGAGCTATCTCATATAAAGCATGGATTTGTGGTCTGAATTTATTTGGCATTTGATAAAAACTGTAAAATAAATATCCTTTCAATCTCTAAACAAATAAAGGAATTTATGGCTTCTCAACAATAAAATCAATATTTTTAACAATTGAAATGTAATAATATGATTCAAATTTGAATCTGATCTCTGAACACATTCTCGAACTACGTAAATATATTGAAACCAGCAATAAATCTCGCAGTAGGACATGACGCAACTCTTAAGCTCTCCTGCATTGATAGACCAAAGGAGACAAGAATCACAAGACATGTTATGAGAAAGTTACTTATACCACGCAGCGCATAGTACAAGGCAGTGTTCAGATGGCTACACAAAATGCTCAGGTTGTTAATGTTTAGTCACTGTTCATTGTGAGCAGTAAATGCAAACCATAATATATTTTATGGATGACAAGTACAGTTACTGAAATTTTAGCAGATTTATGGAGTTAAGGATACACATGAATGTAATAAAAGCCGTGTGTGGGCAGTACCCAAATAGTCAGTAAAAAGTAAAGCACTCCCTCTACACGCCATGTAGGTCGCTTGGGGGGAGAGGCGGTATAGCTCATACTCATTCTTGACCTCGGCTCCAGATGGAGGTGAGTGGTCAGCATTACGCCCTGACTGCACTTTACCCCCGGGAAAGGACCCCGGTACCCATTGGATAGGAGGCTGAGTAGACCGCATATCCGGTCTGGACGCAGAGGCTAGAGGAAATATCCTCTGCCACCGTCGGAGATCAAACCCCGGTCGTCCAGCCCGTAGCTAGTCACCATACTGACTGAGCTGTCGCGGCTCCATCAAGTAATTAGTAATCTGTTCAAACTGTAGCCTTCCAAACACAACATGCTGATTTCTCTTGACAGATTCCACCTACTACTATGGGAACAGTGTTTCATCTTGTTCTTCATTAAACCAAAACTTATTCCAAAGGGCAAGTTGTGCCCTGGATGCTGATACTGGGGTCGAGGCCAGATCTCCATTGGCGGCCACCAGAGCAAATTCTGGTGCCAGTGCAGCCTCACCCACAGGAAGTGCGTGTATGAAAGCTGACATAAACTCCGCTGCGGCAGAATTGCTCCTAGGCTGACAGAATCAGGACTCCGTGAGAAATTTCAGTAATGTCACATTGGATCTCAGAATGGAAGGCTATGAAACCAAAGATTGTCGACAGAATCTGGATGAAATGATGATGTAACTAGTTAACAGGTGTTTGCTACATTTGTTAAGTCATGGGCCTGAAGAATGATGTTTTCAACTGTATTTGATAAAAGGAAACTTCACTTGTTACGAATCGGTAATATTGCGAAGTTGAGATTAAATATTTTACGTTACATTCACATTATGTCATTGCCTTGTACATCGCCACATTACAACGCATCAAAGTAACTGGTATTTTACATTGAGTAGGTAAGAAGTACGTAAGGCAAACATGTCTCTCTAGATAAACTATTATATAAATTGGTTTTCCAGTGATGAATGTTTTCTTCATTTCTAGAGAATATTATAAAGTGGAACTGATGTTGTGTTCCAGAACTTATCTCGCCCTTCACCGAATTACTCGTATAAAAAAAAACAACATACACGTCTGCTGTGAACTGTAAGTGCACAGAGTAAAGACAACGATCACAGATACTCATCCGAATTACTTTAAGTGGAACAAGGCAGTGACTAGAGTGAAAATGGAGGAGTAGTGAGATGTTTGTTTCATGTGTTGCTATGGATACAAGAACAGCATTGGCGTGGACTAAGTAAGAGTTAAGAATCGCACAGACATTTTTGTCCGAATCACGTGACATTTTAGAAGAGCGGATGAATGGAGAACATAAACTCAAAAGTGATAAACGTTTTTCAATTTTTATTTTATTTTTTTGTATACAGACAAAAAACCAAAGACTTTCTGAACCTCATTTCACATCACAATAACGCATATGTGTACGGTTAGACTCGGACTTCTTTTTAAAAACAGTTTCATATCTGCACATCGCATGCCGACTTGTGCGTCGCTAATTTAGCACGCAGGTTCGTGTAAGTATGCATATCCCCTTTGTCCATACATGTAAGAGAGAAAAAAAATGGCTATAATGGAGCAGATATATCTTTCAGTTTCATAGACTCAGTAAAAAATAAATTAAAATATATTACATTTGTAATACAAATATTTCTTATTTGTTCAAATTCGTAACTGACGAATTCAACATTCGTTTTGAGACCGTAGTACCGAATGAATTTTTAATCCTTTACAGGAAAAACAAACTAAATAATGTTTGAAGCTCGTTTCTGATTTGCAAGACGACGCATCATAGTTATGTTCGAAAGAGAAGTGGCTTAAATAAAACTATTAGCTGCTTATTTTAGAAGTAAAATAACATTATTTCATTTTGAATATGAAAGTCCAAACTACTGACTGTTACGACAAGTGGTACACATAGGTACCTGTACCATAAATGGTATTATTTGAAGCCAGAGTAGTATGATATGTATATGATACAGAGCTTTCATGGCGACGAAGTACGATAAATTTTCTCGGGCTACCAGCCATGTCAGGTAGTTGAAAGGTGAAGAAACGAACGTTCTGAGAACCATCTTTTTCCACGTCATCAGGGCACTGACGTACTTGCCTTTCAACCACCGGACATGGCTGGTAGCCCAAGAAGAATTTATTATAGTGTGGTATGTATTTTAACCCTTTCTATGACAAAAGTTATCTAAATGATATCCAAAGTTTGTTTCTGGCCTTTAAGAAAACAAAAATTGTGTGAGTAATTTAAACAAAACAAAATCCATTTTTATTCTAGAAACAAAACATAAAGAATTCACTTCATGGTAAAAACAAAGAGTTCTTAAATGGTCCACATAGTTACCACTTATCCTGTGAAGGGTTAAATATATATTTATTGGAAATTATTAACAAAGAAGCCCACAATATGTATAAAAAAATGTTATTTCCACTGGTTATGTAATTTTTTACTTTGTGCACTTTATTTTAATTAAATCATAACTTACTAATAAAATAATAAAAGAAGTCGAGTCAACTTTTGAAGTTCTATAATTTAAATGATAATTTATTAGCAAGTTTTATAAAGATGGGCCTCTAAGAGTATAATATTTTACAGATTGATAGAGCTTCAGAAATGTGCAATCTTTATATTTTTTATACTTCAGATTATTTGACAAAGAAATTATTGGTGAATTGTAATGAATGGACTGAAGTTGAAAGCAAGACATTAATCAGGTAAATCACTAGGAAAACAAGGAACAATAGTTTACAAATCCTAGTCAAAGAGTATGCACATAGTACTCTTAAAGAGTGAATGTCAATATAAAAGGAAGTCTTTTTCAATATGTTTTATTTATTTCCTTTTTTTCTTATAAGAAATGAAAGTGTAATACATTCTAACCAAAGAGGAAGGAAAAAAGTGTTAAGCAATATTATTCCCATGTTATCTTCTTGCGAAGGTAATAATGTCAAATTTATTATAGTTATATTTCTGATTGTATAGAAGTAAGTTTTGATATGTAAAAAGAGAAGCAACACTAACGTCCTTTGCTTTAAGCCCCAGAGCCGGTCTGGATGCAGAGTGGATGATGAAAGTTTGACACCGCCTGTATCTTGCCACAAGCACCCCAAATTTGAGTTACAAACTCTTATCTCAATCAGTGTTCCCAAATCAGTGTCATTCCCACCTCATCCATAACATCACGTGGTCTGATATCATGTAGCCTAGTTAAATAGAGAATAAAGTTATTGTAGAGAATTAATTGAATGTCAATTCATTGTTATATATATATATATATGCTTCCCTCCAGAGATGTGCTGCCAATTAGTTAACAAGGGACTTGGATTATTAGCCAAAGATTAACAAAGGGGCTCATGCAGCACAAGCCAACTTCTCCCCTCCCGACACAGACACCGTCTTTCCGCTTCTGGTTTTACCTGTGTCCAGGCATTCACATCAATTGCAGATTGAGCAACCTATTCACTTGCTAATTGATTAACTGTGTGAGAAAACAATTACCGAATAGGTAACTATATCCACTTTATAAAATAACTAGATGACTGGCTTACTCATTAAATGATTGAAAGACGTGTAACAGCAAATTACATGTACATAGTTTTCCTTCAGCAGATGACGGTTGTTAAGTTGTTCAAGAAATGTTCTCATTTTATGGTATACGAAAGTTCATCGCACAAAAGGACGTAATTGATCTCTGCCGTCGATTAGTTAAATGAAGTTCACATCTAAAGAGAATTTTGATTGTATCTACTCTTCTGTGTCTAGGCCTACAGAGGTTTTTCCAGGTGTATTCATAAAAATGTCATTAAATTGTACAAGGCTAGTGTAAATGAGGTTCCCGATTAGAATCACATGTTATTCACGTTAAATGAAATTCAGGTGCACAAAATTGGCACCGATGGAAAGAGAAACTCTCCATGTTTATGTTGGTATACTTCGCGGCCGCGTAATAACACTGTTCGCCGCCAGGGGCGATATGAGAGAAAATGGCTGCCATCGAAGACGGGAGTTTCTTGTGTCATGGATTTCCGCGTTAACCGGTCTGTTATTAGTGTGCAACGGCATTTCCGAACCGAGTTTGCGGCAGATCTACCCAGTGGGCATAAAATTCGTAAGTGGTATTCTGAATTTAAGAAAAGGGGGCTGCAGCAACAATCGATCGTGATATGGTGCGACGTGTCTGGGAGGAACTCGGCTACAGGCCGGATGTGTGCCGAGTTACCAAGGAGGCTCACATTGAACACCTGTGATGCACTGAAACAAAACTTGGAGAGTTTCTCTTTCCATCTGTACCAATTTTGTGCATCTGAATTTCATTAAACGTGAGTAGCATATCTTTCAAATCGGGAACATCATTTAGACTTGTATTGTTTGCCTTAAGTTTTCACATGTCCTACCATATTATATCACTTCTAGAGCATAAGTAATGAAAGTTGTGAAGGAGTTGAGTATGTATTCTACATTATGCTGTTACATAAACTATATAACCTTCAGACTCTACTGGAGATTCTGTAAAAAACTTAACATACTTTAGGCTCTAATTTGATAGCAAGCACAGTGTAGGCTGTATGTAGCCAAGTTGTAGAGGCAGGCATGCATTATCTGCCCTCACCAATATCCCTAAGGGAAAACACTGCAGACAGCACATAGAAACAATTTCTGATATCTGTTGAAGGTTCTGCTCTTACTCAGGGTGTTTTATACATGGGAGATTAATTTGTGGGATCTGAATAGAAACGTTTGATTAGATAAACATGTGCAGGTTGCACATATATGCTCCAGGTCTAAATATACATACATTAAGGACACCTTGTTCACATGTAAGTTCCAAGGTGTATATATATATATATATACATGTATAGATAGGGGCAAAAAATTTGAAAAAAGTTGAATCTGAAATATTTCAAAAAATTTTTGTTTTATGCGCTTTTTGGACAATTTAGAGCATTTTTAGATTTTTTGAAAATTTTCAAAATTCCTTTCAAAAATCTCCCCACCAGAGGCATGGCAGAACCGGTCTCTGTCTTACACTCATATGTACTCTCTCTGACGAACGCGGTCTGTGCCTGAATGTGAAATTTTTCAACTTTTTTTTTGTTTTGTGCGCTTTTTGAACAATTTCCAGCATTTTTGATTTTTTGAAAATTTTCAAATTTTTCAGAAATACTCTCAGAAATCTCCCCCCCAGATGCATGGTAGAACCAGTCTCTGTCGGACACTCATTCGTACTGTTTCTTACGAACGCGGTCTGTGCCTGATAGATCTCTGGACTACCTGGTCTCTGTATGCCATCATCTCTGACGTGTAGTCTGCACACGACGGGTGCAGCAGACACCACGTAAGGCAGAGACAGGGACTGACAGAGAAGGCGTGAGTCAGCGATCGAGTGCTTCAGAGACACGGTGAGAGACTGAGTCGTGCTTGAAAAATTTCGAATTCAAAATTTTTTTCAAATTTTTCAAAAAAAAATTAGTTTTGTGCGCTTTTCAGACAATTTCCAGCATTTTCTGATTTTTTGAAAATTTTCAAAAAATCAGAAAATGCTGGAAATTGTTCAAAAAGCGCACAAAACCAAAAAAGTTCGAAAAAATTTGAATATGAAATTTTTTATTTTTTTGGTTTCGTGCGCTTTTTGGACAATTTCCAGCATTTTCTGATTTTTTGAAAATTTTCAAAAAATCAGAAAATGCTGGAAATTGTTCAAAAAGCGCACAAAACCAAAAAAGTTCGAAAAAATTTGAATATGAAATTTTTTATTTTTTTGGTTTCGTGCGCTTTTTGGACAATTTCCAGCATTTTCTGATTTTTTGAAAATTTTCAAAAAATCAGAAAATGCTGGAAATTGTTCAAAAAGCGCACAAAACCAAAAAAGTTCGAAAAAATTTGAATATGAAATTTTTTATTTTTTTGGTTTCGTGCGCTTTTTGGACAATTTCCAGCATTTTCTGATTTTTTGAAAATTTTCAAAAAATCAGAAAATGCTGGAAATTGTTCAAAAAGCGCACAAAACCAAAAAAGTTCGAAAAAATTTGAATATGAAATTTTTTATTTTTTTGGTTTCGTGCGCTTTTTGGACAATTTCCAGCATTTTCTGATTTTTTGAAAATTTTCAAAAAATCAGAAAATGCTGGAAATTGTTCAAAAAGCGCACAAAACCAAAAAAGTTCGAAAAAATTTGAATATGAAATTTTTTATTTTTTTGGTTTCGTGCGCTTTTTGGACAATTTCCAGCATTTTCTGATTTTTTGAAAATTTTCAAAAAATCAGAAAATGCTGGAAATTGTTCAAAAAGCGCACAAAACCAAAAAAGTTCGAAAAAATTTGAATATGAAATTTTTTATTTTTTTGGTTTCGTGCGCTTTTTGGACAATTTCCAGCATTTTCTGATTTTTTGAAAATTTTCAAAAAATCAGAAAATGCTGGAAATTGTTCAAAAAGCGCACAAAACCAAAAAAGTTCGAAAAAATTTGAATATGAAATTTTTTATTTTTTTGGTTTCGTGCGCTTTTTGGACAATTTCCAGCATTTTCTGATTTTTTGAAAATTTTCAAAAAATCAGAAAATGCTGGAAATTGTCCAAAAAGCGCACAAAACCAAAAAATGAAAAATTTCATTTTCAAAATTTTTAAATTTTTTCGTATTGTGCGCTTTTCAGACAAATTATAGCATTTTAGATTTTTCGAAAATTTTGAATAAATATAACACTTCTACAGATCTGCCAAAGAGATGAATGCCTCACTCTGTCTGCCGGACACGGCCTTTTACATCACTCGGCTAATGCCTGCCTCGGCGTTTGCATCAAGCTGCCTCCGGAAGACTCAGTCTCTCACCGTGTCTCTGACTGACTCGATCGCTGAATCACGCTTTCTCTGTCGGTTTCTGTCTAGGCCTTACATGATGTCTGCTTTACCCGTCGTGTGCAGAGACCGTGTTATACAGAGACCAGCTAGTGCAGAGATCATATCAGGCACAGACCGCGTTCGTCAGAGAGAGTACATATGAGTTTCCGACAGAGACCGGTTCTGCCATGATTATGCTTGGGAGATTTTTCAAAGGAATTTTGAAAATTTGCAAAAAATCGGAAAAGGCTTGAAATTGTCTAAAAGCGCACAAAACAAACAAATTTGAAAAATTTCACATTCAAATTTTTTAAAAATGTTTCGTTTTGTGCGCTTTTCAGACAGTTTCCAGCATTTTTGATTTCTCGAAAATTTTGAATAATTTTAACATTTCTTCAGATCTCCCAAAATGATGACTGCCAGACGCGGTGAATGCCTCACTCTGTGTGCCGTATTCGCCCTTCTACATTACTCGGTTAATGGCTGCCTCGGTGTTTGCATCAAGCTGCCTCCGCAAGACTCAGTTTCTCAAGGACAAGTGAAAAGTCACTTGTCCCAACTTTTGAGAAGTTATTCAAATTTTTTCGAACTTTTTTGGTTTTGTGCGCTTTTCAGACAATTTCCAGCATTTTTGATTTTTCGTCAATTTTGAATAAATTTAACATTTCTTCAGATCTCCCAAAGAGATCACTGCCAGACGCGGTGACTGCCTGACCCTGTCTGACGGACTCGGCCTTCTACATCACTCGGT